CTTCCCCCACACAAAGGAGTAAGGGAGAGGAGGCGCCAGGCTCCCCTTCCCTTATTAAAGTTTTCACTGTGAAATTCAGGCTTTTCCTGGATCATGACTCCTCCTTTGATTCTGGAGGGAGCAGCAGTGAGGCTGCCTACAGCCCAGACAGCCCCAGTTCAGCATAGGATGGCTTGGGGTGTCTTGAGTTTCAGCTTTGGCCAAAGCTCACTCCCGTTTGCTTTCCTGCCTGTCTAGTGGGTCAGCCCTGTCTAGACAGGCAACCCCATAGATCATTTCCACCGTCAGTGGTCTCCCTCCTTCACCCACTCATCACGGTAAGCACATGAGTGAGGAGATCCTGAGTAGCCTGCCTCCAAGGTGACTGGCAGGGGGCAGGGGGGCAGGAGGGGCAGGAGGGGCAGGAGGCCTCTGTGTTCTACAAAGGGAACAGAGAACAGCCTTGTGGACCCGTCTTCCCATGCTCATCGCTCTAGAGAAGAAAGTTTTTATAACTAACTGGCATTGCAGTTGATAGCAACAGTCCTTGAGTTAGCGTGGCTTACCATCTTATGGTGTGCAAAATAAATCAAAAATAATACATCCCATACGAATCAGACTCGGAACTTTGGATCTGGTTCTGGACTAGTGATGTGTGCAACTGTGGCTTAGATCTCAACCTCCCCCCAAAGCCCCTGTGTCAAAGGTGTAGTTCCCAACTCGGCACTACTGGGAGATGGTAGAATCTTTTGGTAGGCTGTAGGTCATTAAGAACATGTCTTTGAAGGGACTAGCGGCATACTTGTCCCTCATGACCCTCTCTTTGCTTCCTGAGTTGAGCCACAGCGTCCCCAACACAATCCCACCATAACATGCTGCTTCAAAGCAATGGAACATCCCACACAGAGCCAAAAGAAACCTTCCCTCTGCTTAAGGTGATTATCGCAGGTATGTTGTTATAGCAACAGAAGATCAATGCGTGATACAATCCTCTCTCCAAATACTGGGCAGCCACAGTAAGCCACTACTTGTCCATGTGCTCAAAGAGGGCACACAGTAGATGCTGAGGGGCGGCTGTGGCTGAGCTGGCAGAGATGAGAAGTCCGTCACTGCCTGTCTGCAGGGTTTGCAGCATGGTGGGGGTCTGTAGGGATGGCAGCTTGCCTTCAGTTCAAGAACACCTGTATTTCTGTTTGGGGCTTTTTTCCCCTCCAAACAATGAGATGGCTCTGGTTCCCTAAGGTTGGTACTGGCCAGACAGAGGCGAAGACATAGCATTCTAGTTTCCTCTCTGGGGCTGACAAAACACCCTGACCCAAAGCAACATGGGGAGGAAAGGCTTTGTCTGGCTTGCACTTCCAGGTCACAGTCTGTGCAGGGTAGGTGGGGGTTTGTTTGTTTGTTTGTTTGCCAACTTGATACAAGTTATAGTCATTTGGAAAGAGAGAGCATCAATTGAAAAAATGCCCCATCAGACTGGCCTGTAGGCAAGCATATGGGGCTTCCTTCCTTCCTTCCCTCCCTCCCTCCCTCCTTCCTTCCTTCTCTCTTTTCATTTTGTTTTTTGAGACAGAGTCTTACCATGTAGCTCTGGCTGGCCTGGAACTTGCTATGTAGCTCAATATAGATCTCTTGAACTCACAGAGACCCTCCTGCCTCTCTGTCTCTGGGGTGCTGGGATTAAAGGTACGTACCACCATCATGTACTGCTGTGGGGCATTTTCTTGATTGATGATTAATGAGGAAAGTCTCAGCCCACTTCAAGAAGTGATATTCCCAGGCAGGTGGTCCTGGGGTATATAAGAAAGCCAGCTGAGCAAGTCAGGAGAAGAATGCCAATGAACAGCACTCCTCCATGGCCTCTGCTTGAGTCCCTGCCCTGACTTCCCTGGATGATGGACTACAACTATAGGCTGAAATAAACCCTTTCCTCCCTAAATTGCTTTCTGTCATGATGTTTTAGCACAGTAACAGGAAGCAAACTAAGAGGCAGTCTGTGAGAGTCCAGCTCCCACCTTTCCAAGGCTTCTTAGGTGGAGGAGAGAGGAATGAGGAAATATCAGATAGAGAGACCTAGCCAACAAGAAGAAAGGCAGAAACACAGGATAGCTTCGGGAGGGCCTGGATCAACACCCAACAGCCTTGTCCTTCATTGAAAAGGGCTTTTTATAACATGCCAAAAGACCTCCCCCTTGCAAGATCAAAACACACCGTACAGCCAAGTATAGACCCTTCCAAAAGCCTAGTAAACATGCCTGTAAACAATCATCTCATTATGCAGCCCTGTTGGGTAAAGCAAGCTCAGATTCTCTGACCCTGAGAAAGTTCTCATTAGGAAGCCTCTGTGGGCTCCCACAATGGTCCACCACTGAGGGAAGTCAAGATGAGAACTCAAGGCAAGAGCTGATTCAGAAACCATTAAGGAATGTTGCTCACTGGCTCCTGGTCAGCTCCTGGTCTTCTACAGCCCAAGGCCAGCTGCCAGGGGACAGTGCCACCCACAGTGGGTGGGGTTCTCCTACATCAATTAGCAATGAAGACAATCTCTCACAGACAGGCTGACAGGCCAGTGGAGACAATTCTGGAGTTGAGGTTCCATCTTTGAAGATGACTCAAGGCTGTGTCCAGCTGATGATGAAAACTAGCCAGCATGGACAGGTTTCTGTCCATTACCCACGAGGGCAGAGTCCAGCCCTCAGGAGAGAGCGACCAGAGCTAGCAAATAAAAGCACAAGATGCCTAGTCCTGGTTTCAGATAAATATCCATTTCTTCTATTAATTTATTTATCATGTGAAACTCGAATCTCCACAGGCAGCCTGCATTTTAGGGCCAGTCTTGCCAACGGTTGAGTGGACTTTGGGAGGAGTGGCCCAAAAGCACTTAGTGAGTGGAGGCCTTCAGCTGCATGTGAGGATTCAAGAGCCAGCACCTGCAGTATGGTGGGAACTCTTCTCTCACAGCTACGGATCCAGCAGCAGCCTGTAAAAGGAGCTGTCACTGAGCAGGGTCCTTGCACCTCAGTTTCCTCCTTCCTGCTTAAGGCTCATCCCATGCCTCCTCCTTGATTCTGAGAGCTTCCTGACCATCGCCTGAGAAACTTCTGCCCTGAGAATGCGTTCTTCATTGGAGTTCTTCTAAACCCATCTCTTGCCTCAGTTTTCTAAAGTCCTAGCACAGCCATGACCTCTGCCCAAAATGCCAACGCTAGTCCCTCAAAAAGGGCCAGGGAGTGCAGATTTGTTGAGCAGGGAGCCCACTTCTTGGGCAGAAATTCTATTCACCCTTGATACTGGAGAGTCGGCCACACTGCAGAAGTATTTCTGCCTGGCCCTAGCCGCCTTCCTCCGTGCCTTTTGTGCTTTCACGAGGAAAGAGACCATTTATGGGGTAGATTTTAGTGCAACTTAGGCACTGTGTCCCAATGTCAGCTGTGTTTTATTTGCCCCAGAAGGCCGGTGCTGGCAAGGGCAGGCCATGTCTGCTCTCCTTTCCCTCTGGTAAAGAGGCCCTGGGGTCCTCTTTTAGCTCACGGAGTTGCTCAGGCAAGTCACTTGCAAAAGAACTCTCTTTGCAGGCAAAAGTCAGCAGGGCACTGGGCCTCTGCTTTGCAGCTCGCTGGTGGAGAACCCAGTGTGTCAGCTCAGGACCTGCCTTGCTTGAGTGATCTCAACCCTCCAGCTCTCCTTCCAGAGCCTCCCTCCACTCAACAGCCTGTTCAGAAGCAAGGGGATGGGGCCAGGGAGATGGCTCGGTGAGTAGGCGGTCCTTGCCACTCAATCCTGAGACCTAAGTTCAATCCCCAGAACTCACATAAAGAAGGAAAGAGAGAACGGACTCCCCAAAGTGGTCCTCTGACCTCTATACACTTGTGTGCCTACACACAGAGAGAGAGAGAGAGAGAGGGAGGGAGAGGGAGAGGGAGGGAGAGAGAGAGAGAGAGAGAGAGAGAGAGAGAGAGAGACAGAGACAGAGACAGAGACAGAGACAGACAGAGAGAGACAGAGAGAGACAGAGAGAGAGGATGAGAGAGCCAGTTTAAATCTGGCTGTCCGTTTCCTGACAGTATACTCTCAATCCTACCCCTCCTTAAGCCTCATCTTTCCATCTGTGAAACGGATGAATGATGAGTGGGTTTATTGGGTATAGTTAAGGCTACAGGAGACTGAAGGAGAGGGAGGAGGAGGGGGAGAGAGAGAGGGGGGGGGGGGGGGATGCCTACAGATGCCTTGATATTGGATTCCAGCCTCTAGAACTGTGAAGAGAGGTAGTTCCGTGGCTTTAGCCACTTAGCCTCTGGTGACCACCCACGGACACAATGGTGGTTTGACAAAGAGGTGTCCCCTAGCCATGTTTGAACACTTGGTCCCCAGCTGGGGCTGCTGTTTGGGGCCTTTAGGAGGTGCAGTCTTGCTGGAGGAAGCCTGTCACTGGTCACTAGGGGTGGGCTTTGAGGAAGCCTGGCCCTGCTTCTTCCCATTCTCTCTCCCTCCCTTTCTGCCTCCTTTCCTCTACTTCCTTATGGAGATGAACCGTGATTGGCCAGGGCCGTGACTGCCAGGCTGACCTCACTCCTGCTGCCAAGCCTTCCCTGCAGTGATGGACTGACCGTATCCCCTTGGGAATTTGGAGCCACAATAAACCCTTCCTCCTTTATGCCAAGGTGTTCTGTCAGCTGGGACAGTAAAGTGACCGATGCAGAAGGCCACCCTCCTTTGCAGCCAGACTGCCTGAGCCCCGCAGGGTGACAGCTGCAGCTGGACATGCCTGCCTCAGAGCCTTAGGAGAGACTTTCTCTCAGGACTGAGTCTCGTAAGCCAGTTTTGTGTCACAGGGCTCTCATGACTTGGTCTCCTCTTAAAGGCCCCACTTTTAAATGCCACAGCAACAGGAACTTGGTAGTGACAGCATCTCTCAAGTCCCAGAGTCAACATGGCACCCTGTGGGTATTGTGTGTCTGGGGTTGTTCAGAGATTTACCAGTCTGACTCAAATTTTGGTTTTCAGTAAATTAGAGGCTTTTTATTAAGAAGAGACTGGCCAGGACCACCAAACCAGAGAGGCTTCTTTAGGTGAGGTCCTGGCTATTGTTAGCCAAAAGATTGATTATAAAGGCAAAAACCATGAAGTAGTTATCATTTGGGGGAGTCAAATTAACTCATATCCTGTCTGGGTGCAGGCAAGGTTTGATTTTGTGACAGACGTCCTTCAGGTGCCTCAGCCAAGCCGTCCAAGTCAGCAAGCGTTTCACACAAGAGCAGCACTTAGCCGTCAGCCTGTTTAATCTTGTGACCCATTACCTTGAGATGGTGAAACATTTTTCAACCCTCAGCAGTTTTTTAGGAGTAGCCCAGCTACACCAGGAAGTGGTCTGTCTCAGGCCAGCTGACGGCAGGGCACGTTCAAGGTAGGAGGGACTTCCTCGTGGCTTATACAAGTTGAAAAATCATTTTGTCCTTACAAGTCTAGAGCAGTCCATTTATCCCTAAACATAGCATTCACCATCACACTGGGCACCCTTCTCTTCCAAGGAGGCCCCAGCCCCTTTCAGAAGTGGAACTGGATAGGGGCGGGTGGAGAAAATCTGTTTGCTGGGAGGCCGTGGGTAAGTTGCTCATGCCTCTGTATCTAGATCCTAGGGCTGTTGATAAAAGTGAGTTCCCACATAGGAAGCACCCACTGACTGCTGGGATGTGGATAGTGCCCCCTCTTGGTGCTTCATGTTGCTTGGATGCAGGTGGGTCCGCTCTTCCTTGTTGGGAGTCTGAATGAAGATCATGAACGAAGATTATGAAGAAGCATTTTTAGGCAGCTTGTGCTGCTATAACAAAACACTAGAAACTGGTAGCTGATAAACAGCGCAAGTTAAATTCTCACGTCTGGAAGCAGAAAGCCCCAGGCTGGTGCTGAGGAAGGCCTTCCAGCATCTTCCTGCATGTGGCTCTGCAAACATCATCCCTCCGGAGACCAGATGGGTGTGGGGTGCACAAATAGTCAGAGGGAGGCCTGCCCCTGTAGCAAATGTACAGTGGCCCCAACAAGGCAGGAGGGGGCTGATGAGGGCCTGAGCACACACGCAGACGAGCCGGGAACCGTAGATAGTAGCTGGGCCAGCCTCCACTCAGAGCCACCTCCGCCCTTTCCTCCTGAAGCCCTGTCATTCCCACTCCATTCAGCCCAAATTCAAGTGTAAACCACGGGGGAAACCCAAATACTGCTCATCAGATAAATCACCCGCTTACTAACCCTCCCGGTGTTAAAACCACCGCTGTCTTCCCCTGGAGATGTCAGCAGACCTCCTCCCACCGCCTGACACCCAGGCCATTAATCCAGGAAGGGCGGCTCTCCCCGCGGCCGGAAACCCCTTGACAGTGGAAAAACAGCCAGGCTGTGATTCAGTGGTCCCCGAGATGGCCAAGACGTGCGCTTTCGGCCTTCCTGGCCCAGTTTGCCCTGCTTTGTCTAGGCTGAGATTTGGGCAGGGAGGAGCCTAGTTAGCATCTCCGGGGGACTCTTCCCCGGCCTGAGCTGGGCCCCTGATGCCCAGAGGCTCTGAGCAGGGCATGAGTCAGGGAACAGGGCCCCTCACAGGAGAGGATCAGAGAGGAGAGGAAAGGATGCTTAAGGCACCAAGGGCCAGCCCCAAGCACCTGGGTAACATACATTTGGCCCTGGATTTGGCAGCCGAGGCGGAGAGAGAAACACACACATTGGTATTTTTCATTTGCTGACAACAGACAGCATGTCCAGCACTCGGCAGAGGCAACATTTGTACTGGACGGCGCTGTAGGGCGAGTGCTAGGCCTCCTGAAACACGGAGCACTGGTGACAGGGGCCGTGTCCAGGCACAGGGGCTTCATCTTCATCTGTGGCTCCTTGGCTCCTTCGGGCAGGAACATCTGCTGTTCCTGCCTGCCGGGCCTTGGCTGGTGGAGCCTGGAGCTCAGAGAACAGTGAGAATAGCCGGGTCGTAAGAAGGCTACTCACAAGCACCCGTTCATTCCAACGGCCCCGCACCAGCCTCCTGGCCCTTCCCTACGCCAACTACTCACCCTTCGTACAACCCAGCTATTCTCACAGTTCGCTGTGGTCCTGCTATTCTAATTTATTTTCTCTCTTCTTCTTCTATATCCTCTGCTCCCTCTCTCACAGATAGCCCCGGCCTTGTTTAGTCTGCCGGGCATATTCTTTCTCTCTCTGCTCTGGACTCATCAGATGCCTCTGGCTGTTTTCTCTCTCTCATGTCTACAATAAAGCCTTCTCTTGGGATGGAGCGGTCATATTATCAGCTTATACACAGGGAAGATCCAAGTTTCCCCTATTCCCTCTGCCTGCCCCATCTCCATTCCCACCCTCAGCTGATGAGGCAAGCAGAGCTCGCCTGAGTCCAGGTAGGTCCAGATTCCACTTCCGGAATGCAGCCATCCAGACAAGAGATGGGGGATCCTCTCCTGGACTGGGCAAGATGTGTCCAGCCTTAGGAGACACTTGCTGGATAATCGTTAGCTCAGGTTGGTCATGTGTCCCTGTTCTGACCAAGCAGATGTCTCCAAAGGTCCCTGGGAAAGTTGCTTCCTTAATAAACGGCAAGTTTCTACATTCTACCTGGAATACAGTAGATAAAGATGTGATGTTTTGAGCTAGGGCAGCCATCTTAGGGCTAGGAGGTAGTCTGTACTCTTAAAAAAAATACATTGAAGCTGGGCAGTGGCAGCGCACGCCTTTAATCCCAGCACTCAGGAGACAGAGCCAGGTGGATCTCAGTGATTTCGAGGCCAGCCTGGTCTACAGAGTGAGTTCCAGCAAAAGTACAAAGCTACACAGAGAAACCCCATCTCAAAAAAACAAAACAACAAAAAAAAACCAAAAAACAACAACAAAAAGAAAAGAAAGAGAGAGAAAGAAAGGAAGGAAGGAAGGAAGAAAGAGAGAGAGAGAGAGAGAGAGAGAGAGAAAGGAAGGAAGGAAGGAAGAAAGAAAGAAAGAAAGAAAGAAAGAAAGAAAGAAAGAAAGAAAGAAAGAAAGAAAGAAAGAAAGAAAGAAAGAAA